AAACAACAACAAAAAAACTCCTGCCCCTGTGAAAAATTCAAAAGAATGGCATTTTCATTTCTATTTGGTATTCAGAAGCCTGAAGGTGTTTCCTAGGCCTACAGAGGCAGCTATGAAATGTTCAACATAAAGAGTAAAGAAAAAATTTGGCCTCGCTACCAGAGCTGCCTTGGAACGGTTAGGAGAGATTCTGTGGGCTGGGTGAACTGAAGGACTAGACAGCTTATCGGAATGCTGTTTTGAATTGCCAAGAGGACAAGAGACATGTAGTCTTTTAATCTGACAGAAAATATAACTTTCCAGGGAAGGAGGCTTTTGTAATGTTACTGTACCAACTCCTCTCCTACTCCTTTTTTCTTTGTTAAATGGGTATAGAACTTTCCTGATTGGGCAAAAAAGTTAAATTTGCTTTGAGATCCCCATAACATAAGGACTAAGGAAAGAGAAATAAAGTGAACACTATCTCATATGGATGGAGTGAAATTACTGAAATATAATATGTATTCAGCCTTCTGGCTCCATCTAGTTATGATAAAGGGTAGCACCTCCTAGTTTGTTATAAAACAATGCATAACTGAGTTCATAGTAATTATTGAGAAGAATAAACCATTTCCTAATTTATTAAAAAATTTGCTTTAATTCTGACACTAAAGAAAATACGTAATATTCCTATTGATAAACAAATTGTGATCCAGGCAAAATTAATGTGCTAAAGGTTATATTTACGTGGAAAATAATCTTCCACTGGGTTCTATAAAACAAGGGTAACAATACCTGCATTTCACAGTTGTGACAACTAAACGAGTTGAAGCATATATTAAAAGTTTAGTAATAAATGTTAGTTAGCATGTGGTTGTTTATTAACTTCCCAAAGAAATGAGAATGAAGGTAACAATCAGAAGAAGCCATTTGCTACCCAGAACTCGTACTTTGGCAAATGTGATGTAGAACTCCCTTTTTAGTGTACTTCTCTCCACTGTGATGATCTGGTAGAGTCCACAGCCTAAAGACAATGCTAGGCAAATTCTTAAAATGATTAGAAGGATGCCTGCTAAGTTGTGATGTGCATGGTAGCTGTGATGACTGGTATCTTCAAACTGTTCCCAAAGAAGCAAAATACTCTGCAAAAAAAATTACATTTAGAGAAAAAAGCATAATTTCTTAAGATAAAGCACTTTTTTCAACTTTTGGTAAACATCCTTCAAACATTATATAAACATTTCTGAAAAAGTTGTAAGGATAATCAGACTATAAAGGTTGTCAATTAATAAAGTACAGGCACAGTCACTGATGTATTAAGTTGAAGACAACAGAGTTTTATCCAATGAGACCCACATAGAAGGATAAAAAATGTTATTGTAACCATGATTCAAATAAGAAATCTCTCAGGATGAACATAAATTGAAAGGGTTAAAAGAATATAAACTTTCTTCTAGAAACATCTCCTTACTTCAAAAGCCATCATTTGAATCAAACTGTTCTGCCAACTATCTCACTCAGAGTAACATTCAGGTATCTGTCTTTTCTAATACAGAAATTAACAAATCAAAATTGTTGATTACAAACTTCATACTTTTTTCATAGTAAGGTCTGGGTACAGGAGAGCATATTTTTAATACTAACTATAAGTACACAAGAAGACTCTGCTAATGCAGTTGTTAAAGCATTCAGATGCTAGCCAAAAGATCGATGGTTCAAACCTACCAGTTGGTTTGCTGGAGTAAGATGAGGCAGTCTGCTTCTGTAAAGATTTACAACCTTTGAAATCCTATGGGGCAGTTCTATATTGTCCTATAGGGTCACTATGAGTTAGAATCAACTTCATGGTAGTGGGTTAGCCAGTTGGATCAAGTACCCACTGTTATTTATCCTCACTTGATTATTGATTTTTTTCCTCCCATGTTGTTACTACAATAGTAAACATAGCAAAGTCTCTATTAATCTGTTCTGTTTACTGCCAGTCTGTAGAAATCAGTGTTCATTTTCCCACTTATCTTTACCAAACATCAATCATCCAAACTACTATATACCACTGTGCTAGACTGGGTTCTCTATAGAGAAACAAAAACCAGTAAAGCTTATATATATATATATATATATATA